ATGCCTCTGTAACATAAGAACCAAGCAACCACACATGCCCCCATGAGAACCAAGCAGCCACACATGCCTACATATTTCCAGTTCACTTCCGCATACCTATAGGAGGCACTTCTCGTTTTGAAGGGGTCCGGAATGCTGTATCAAGGCCCATACCACGGAACATGGACACCAAACCCACAGACTCCTAAGGAAAGATATTAAGGTTATGCTAAGAAATGGATTAGAACCCTAGAAACAATGGCTTTCTAAATAAAATCACCTTCTCCAAACCCTATCAATGTTACAAGAATAAGGAATGTTGGCTGGTGAGATGGTTCCGTGAATGAAAGTGCCTGTTGCCAAACCTGAGAACCCGAGTTCAATCCATGGAACCTGCATGGTAGAGAACCACTCTCACAAAATGTCACCTGACCTTCACATACATGCTGTAGCATGTATATATACACAAACACACACAAACACCATGCATGCACATACAAAATAAACGCGAGAATAATAAAACATTTTTAAATGGAAAAAATACTTCAATTTTTTTTTTTTCAGTACTTAATACCACATCTTATTAAAGTAAATGCAGTTAGGCTAAAATCTCTGTGAATTTAAGGAAGTGGAAAGTGGCTCTGCAGTTAAGAGCAGCGGCCGCTCTTCCAGAAGATCTGGGTCAAATTCCTAGTACTCGTGTGGCAGCAGGGAGTCCAACGCCCTCTTCTGCCCCTCTGGTATCGGGCATACACGTGGTGCACAGACATACATGCAGACAAACACATAAAATAAGAAAGACATTTTTTAAAAGTCTATGATTTTGGCTAGGCTTGGCAGCACACACTTTTAATCCTAGTACTCAGGAGGCAGAGGCAGATGGATTTCTGTGAGTTTTAAGCCAGCCTGATCTACACAGTAAATTCACAGGACTGCCAAGAATACAAAAAGCCTGTCTCAAAAACAACGAAATATATTTTTTAAAAAATCTATGAATTGATAACACTATAATAAAATAACACAAAATAGCTGTCTGTTTTTCCAGGCTTTTAATTAATTAGTTTGTTTGTTTATTTGTTTGTTTGTTTGAAATAAGGTCTACATATTTGAAATATGTAGCCCTGGCTGACCTGGAACTTACTTTGTATACTAGGCTGGCCTCAAACTCCCAGAAACTCACCTGCCTTTGCCTAGTATTAAAGTGCTAGTATTAAAGGTGTGCTCCAGTGCATCTTATATTTAATAATTATATTTACAAGATTTATTTTGATTATATATATATATGACTGGTTTTGCCTGCACTATTATGTAGGTGTACTATGTGTGTATACTTGGTGCCTGTGGAGGACAGAAGACGGCATCAGATCCCCTAGACCTGTAGTTGTAGACTGTTATAAACCAACATGCAGGTATAAATAAGAGCAGTGAGTGCATGGGTTTAACTGCTGAGCCATCTCTTCAGTTCCCTCCAACCCCACACTTTTTTTTGTTGTTGTTGTTGGTGGTGGTGGTTGGTTTTATTATTAAATTTATTTAATTTTAAAAATTAAAAAAATATATATTTTCTATCTTTGTTTGTGCATTGGTGTGACTGTGGGCACGTAGCCACAGTGAGTATATGCAAACTGGAAGACAACCTCAACAACAGGCCCCTGTCTTCCACCTTCTTTGAGACCAGTCTCTTGCTGCTTTTGGCTGGTGCATATGCCAGGCTAGCTCATCTGTGGGGTCTCCTATCTCCACTTCCCAGATCCTTGCAGGAGTAATGGGATTACAGACAGGGGGTTACATATGAGGGCCACTGTGCCCAGCTTTTACTGGGTGCTGGAGATTCAAACTCAGGTCCTGGTGGTCACACAAGTACTTTCCCCCTGAGTCTTCTCCTCAGCCCCTTTCCAAGTTTATTTCCTACATGGTCAAGGTAAAAGGGAACAGAAACGTTGGTTAACCAATTTTACGAAAAAAAAAAAAAAAAAAGAAAGATCATTTAAGGATATTAGGAGTTTAGAGTTTTTTGTTTGGTTGGTTTGTTTTGTTTCTTACAGGCTGTTCTCAAATGTGCTATATAGTCAAGGATGAATACCGAACTTTGGATCCTCCTGTCTCACTTCAGTGCTAAGATTACAGATTTGCGCATCCACACCGAGTTTGTATGGTGTTGGGGATCAAATCCTAGGTTCCATGCATCCTAGGCAAGCACTCTACTAACTGAGCTGCATCCTCAGTCCCATCTTGTGTGTTTTTTTTCCTCTTATGCAATACCCAATGAACCCCACAACTGAACTGCTGTGGTAGTCCTAAAAGCTTGCTGCTATGCCAATTAGAACTGCTAGACAAATAAAAGCTACGTATAAACCAAAGCATTTCATCTGACTAAACAAACAATACTGCTGTCAGTTTTCTTATAGAGCCTTGTACCTAGCACTTTCAACTCTTCTAATAATCATAATTCTATTATGTATATACATCCTTCATCCTTGAAATGTGAATTATAGATGAATGCTGTTTTTAAATCTCCATATAATTGGGAAATTAAACACGCTCACACTACAGCAGCAACAGTGAGGATCCTCTTTTATCTTCAAGGAATTTTTGGAAGGAACAAACTAAAAAAATTATTACTGCCGAGGCAGGAGTTGTTTCAATACTACTGAGCTAATCAGAGTAGAATCTGAACAGTCAGGAGCCGCAAACGGCTGAGTTTAAACCCCTCAACTATATATGAAAGAATGGAAAAAGGAAGAAATGAGCAGACGGAGGACTGAGGCTAGAAACCAAACTTAGGCACTGACCCAAGTCCATCTAGTGTTTATTTTGGGGCACTTTCTCTAGGACTGAACTGCAAGACCACAAGCTGCAATCACTTGTCAAAAATAAAAACAACAGCCCCTGATTATAAACAAAGCATCCCCATTTCCGAAGCCCTGTCTTACCTTTTGTACTAGCTGGAGTTGTGGACTGGATTCCTCTGGCTTTCTAAACACAAGGCCTCTGCCTGCAGGTCCTGCCCTACCCCAGGCTGGGTCCAAGGGTCTAGGAGCTTGTGGCCAACAGCCTGGCATCCGAACACATTGAGATGAGTGGACAGGAGTGGGCCCCCTGAACAACGGCCGGACGGGATCCATCGAGAGGCTGTAGGAATGATTGCTGATTCTGCTCTGATTAACTACCTGCCAGTATTTTCAAAAGGTTAAAGATTCAACATCTACTGTAAATTGAAGCTTTTCTGATGAGAGGTGAGAGATGTATTACTCTATGGGTGTAATATGTCATTAGAAGTCAGTTTAACACTGGGTCCATTAAGCAGAATAACAGGAATAGATTTTATCCTAGGGCCTATGGCCTGTCTATTCAGAGGTTCTTGGCCTGACAACAGTCACGGGTTCTTTCATCTTGTGCAATGGGATTTATAAGCCATCAGAAAGTGGTCGGTTACTGCTCAAGCCATATCAACTCCCAGCATGGAGAAGGCAGGTGAACATGAAGTCCCACCCCTAGCCAAGAAGCCACTGGCAACTGACAGCAGGGAAAGGGGGAGTCATTTTTCTTTATCAATTTATCATTCAGCAACGTGATCACACTCCAGAGAAAAGCCATATATCCAGTAGTATATGGCGGCACATATTGGATTTGATGGGTGGGGGAAAAAACCCCACAATGTTGGATGGGTAGAAAAGGGGGTAGGTCTGGGAGGAGTCTGGGAAGGGAATGAGTATGATCATAACACATAAGGGTGAAATTCTCAAATAAATAATCTTAAGAACTTAAAAATTCCCACTGTTTGCCTTTTCCTTCTTCTAAAACAGATTCACAAAGTAGAGAAGATTCATTAGGCAAATCAGATCAGTGACAGAACCAATATCCTATAACAGATTCACTTCAAATATTTTTTTAATTAAATTTAAAATTTTTTAAAATTTTAATTAAAAAATTCTTGCTGGCGGTGGCACACACATTTGATCCTAGTACCCAGGAGGCAGAGGCAGGCAGATCTCTTTGAGTTCAAGGCCAGCCTGGTTGACAGAAAGTATTCCAAAACAGTCAGCACTACACAGAGAAACCCTGTCTGCATTTGTTTGTTTGTTTTTGTTTTTTCCATTAGAGGCACAGACACATTGCTATGTATGTATCCCTACCTAGCCTTGAACTCTTGACAACCCTCCTGCCTCAGGCTCTCAAGTGCTGGGATGACAGGCTTGTGCCACCACACCTATCTTATTTTTGAGAAAGGGTCTTGCCGTGTAGCTCAAGAGGACCTTAAACTTGCAATCTTCCTGTGTTCAGGGATTACAGGAATATAAGTTGAACTTAATACCTCCATATAATAAAATTATTCTGTCAACAAATATTCATGGTTTTGCTTTGTTTTCTCCTATGTCTGCCCCCCCCCCCAATCTATAATTGCATTTAACTCTGTTAGGTTTAGCTGCTTTTCTGAATCTTTATCCGTATTTATTTATTTATTTACAAACACCAATAGGACTGAGGTCTCCAGGGTACAAAGCCTTTATACTTTGAGCCTATACTACCAGGCTGACTCTCACCGGGTCCACTTAATTCCTTCCCTCCCCAGTTAACTAGGGATGAGCCCCTGGGCCTATCTCAAATCTAAGACCCATCAGGCCTCTTTAGAATCATTTTGTAATTTAAGGATTTCAAGACTTGCTCTGTGAAGGGTTCCTCTCATTGTTCCGACCTGTTCCTGATTTCTGAAGATTTTTTTTTTTTTTTTTTTTTTTGTCTTCCTTTTATCCCTCTTGTGCTGGGAACCAAATCTAAGGCCTTATCTATGTTAAGCATGCATTACACCATTAAGCTACACTCCAATCCCAAAAACCTTTTCTGAGCTTTTGAAGAACTGCCTGCACTATTAGCTACAGAAAAATGCAGCCTGGAATAGAAAGAAGATGCACACTCAACTCCTCGATTGCTAGCAACTCTCGGTCAGCAGCTTGCACGTTTTGCCACCCTTGCCTTATCTAAGGATCTAGAAGTCAGTTGCCTAACTGGTATATACGAAGTGATGCTATAGCACAGACCTCTGGGATCCTTTTTACCTTCCTATGATCACATTCACAGATTGGACCCCTCCTCCAGAAGGCCTTTCCTTCAGGTAGGTTTTCTTCCCGGGTTAGTTCTCACACACTGGCCAGTCAAGGGTCCCAGGCCAGGCCTGTCTTCTCTAGTTCCCCATCTGTGCCCTTTGGGCTGGGGAACTAGGCCTCAGGCCTAACCTGAGGCCAAGTCCTTCAAAGCAAATCCACCCAAAGCCCACGACAAAAAGTACCTTTTCACCAACTGGATTATGGCCAGCTGGGAATCTTGCCTAGATTTCTTATGGAGTCTTGTGCTACTGAACCCCAAGAGAGTGCCCTCGGTCCACGAGCCACCTCCTTTCCCTCCTATTCTAGGCCCTGCGTTCCTCCCGCACTCGCGGCCTGGAATAACGAATTCCAGTCCACCCTGCCCCCGCCCACACCACCTCGTGGTTGTGGGGGAGGGGCGTGGGGGAGGGGATGGCCCAAGAGAGTAGGAGGGCCCTGGCTGAGAGCACCCTGCTCACCACCAGGAGCCTGGACAAAAGCCCCGTCAAGCTTGCACCAGAGGGACCTTAGCCCTCCTAGCTGCTCAAATCTGACTCTTGTCTTCTCACCTGGCCTGGAGTCGTCAGGAACACGAAGCACACTGCCTCAGCAGAACACTACCTTCACAACCCCACCTGCCACTTGGCATGAACCACTTGCCCCAAGTCCTGATTTCCGGTTCTTCCTGGGCCAGGGGCTCAGCCTATTGGCCACATAACATGCCACTCATGGGAGTCCATCACCTCATTGGCTTGCCCTTTCATGTAGTCTAGCTATGTGGAGGTTGAGCTCAAACTGGTGTTAGAAGTTAGGGGAGTAATTTTGAAGTGTGTTGCTGGCAGAAGGTTGTCCTGAATTCCTTTCAGTGGGCTGCTCCTGTAAACAAATGTAGCTAATACGTTCATGTTGATAGTCACCTGCTCTGTCCTCCCAGCTTAAAGGCTGTAATCTTGATAGAGGGCTGTAGATCAATGGTGGAGCACTTGTTCTGCCCAGGACTGAGGGGTGCACCAAAGCCTCCAAGCTGGAGAGGGGGTAAAAATGAAATTGTTCTCCAACCCTAATGAAGTTCCAGCTCCCTGTCCTTTTTGGAACACTGATCAAAGCTTGCATTTAAGATTCACTTATTGCATACTGAAACAGTCGCTGAGGGAATGGAGCCTGTCTTCGGGTATGCGGTAACAGTAGTTCTCTGAGCATGCCGGATTGTAACCTGGAACAAGCAGCTTTCATTACAAAGGTTATAGGCTGGGTTCCTTAGCTTTTCAGTGTTGAACCAAAAGTAGGTAGCTTCAGTTCAGAGCTTCCAAGTAACCCATACACCATACTATTTCACCAAAGGAAAAACCCAATCTTAGTGTTGATTGGAGATAAAGATGGAAAGTATTTGGAACCATCGGCATTTATTAAGATTCTTTCCGGGGGCTGAGGAGGTGGCTCAGAGGTTAAGAGCACTGGCTGCTCTTCCAAAGGTCCTGAGTTCAATTCCCAGCAACCACATGGTGGCTCACAACCATCTATAATGAGACCCTGTGCCCCCTACTGGTGTGCAGGCGTACATGCAGGCAGAATACTGTACACATAATAAATAAATCTTTAAAAAAAAAAAGATTCTTTCCAAAGCTAAGCAACATCTCTTGCTGTTTATATTCTCTTTGGGGGCGTTTCTAATAAATGTTTCATCTTCAGGGTAGCATTTTTAAAAGAAAAAGCACACACAAATACAGCATTTGTCTAATGTATTCAAGGCCCTCTGTACAATCCCCAGCACCCAGAGAGAACCAGCCCTGCCAGTGACCAAAATGTCTTACTCTGTAGTTTAGATGTGATTTGTCCCCATCAAAACTCATCTACAAATTTGATTTCTGGACTGGTGAAATGGCTCAGTGAGTAAAGATGCCTACACCTAAGCTTAACAGATCCTAAAGACCCATGTGGTAGAAGTGAGTCTCACTTGTTCTCTGACCTCTACATGTCCTGCTGTGACAAGTGTGCATCCCAAACAATAATTGTAATTTAAAAATTAAAGAAATGTTCTTATTTCTAATGTGGCTAGTTGGATAGCTCATTGTAGCTGGTGTTTGCTGTTTTGTGGGTTCCTCTTTCTTCCACTCTTCTGTACCCCCCTTTTTTTACCTTTCAACACAACACTAAACAGGAGAGAAAAAAGGAGAGGAAAAAGAGGGAGATGCTATCATTAGACTACTTCCTGATCATTAGAAGTGTCAAGCTCCTTGGGGCAAGTTTGATCTTGTCATCAGGATAACTAATTTCTTCTTGTTGCTTCTTCTTTGTACACAACTACTTATCAACAAACAACCCTTCTGAGTTGAATTCTGAGGAGGGTATTTCCTCGTTCCACAGTACCAGATGTCCATGTATAGAGAGCAATGTTCACTGACTGGAGAGCCTACTATAATCAGAAATTTGCCTTTCTTTGCCTGAAAATGTCTACAAAATTCTAAGATTAGTTTCAAAGACCACAGAGGGGAAGTCAAAGTCATCTCACTGGACTGGAGCAGCAAGAAAACAATCTGAGAAAGTGCCCACAATAGTGAGCTAGTAGCCTCCAGACTGCTAGTCAACAAAGGTTGGTTGATGTTATGATTTTAATATGAAATAAGATCCCTAAAAGGTTCATTGTTTAAAAAAAATGGTCTGTCACCTGAAAGTCCTTTGGAATTAGATCATAAAGGCTCAACTTCATTAATAGCAATAAAATATGTTGATTTCATAACTCAATAGTCCTCCACGGAGGTGCTGGAGACCTGGGTGGCATAGTTTAGTTGGAGCAAGTTGGCTACTGGGGGTGTGTTGGAGCTGGAAAAAAGGCTCAACAGTTACATGTAACACTTGCTTTTGCAGAGGACTCAAATTGCATTTCCAACACTGGAGTGCCATAGCGGTCTGTGACTCCAGTTCTATAAGATCTGTCGCCCTCTTCTGAACTCAAGTATCAAGACGGGGTTTCTCTCTGTAACCTTGGCTGCTTTGTAGTCTATGCTGGCCTTGAACTCAGAGATTCGCCTTCCTCTACCTCCCCAAGCACGGGGATTACAGGAGTGCCACCACGCTGGCTTCCACTATATCTTTCATCATGACATTCTCCTGTGCTATACATCCAGAAACAATGGAGTCAGCTAACCTGGACCATGATTTTTCGCTTTCAAGTTTCTTTCGACTGTTTCTATTTAGTATTTGTCACAGCAATAAAGTTAACACAGAAAAGCTCAAGGCCTCACCTCATGCTGTGCTGTGTCTCCCTTCCCAATAGGCAAGTTTATTTTTGTCACTCATGTATCCCAGACTGGCCTTGAGTTTGAGGCTAACCTTGAACTTCTGATCCTTCTACCTCCACCTCCAGAGTACTAGGATTATAGGCATGTACTGTCTATCTACCCAGTGCTGGGGACCAAACCTGGGCTTTGTGTTTGCAAGGCAAATGCTCTTCCAAGTGAGTTACATCCGAAGCCTGCCTACCCCATTTTTATTTTGGTTTCTTTTCTGTATGTGTTGGGGGGAGGGAGGGTCCTGGTTAAAGGTAGTTGCATTGTATCCAAAACTGGCTGGGAACTCACTCTGTAGTCCAGGCTGGCCTTCAATTTGCAGCAATCTTCCTGTCTCAGTGTCTGGGTGCCTGGATTACAGGTGTGTGCTATCATGCCTGGCGGACAGCTGAGTTTTTTTTAGAAGTTGTGGTTGGGTCTGTGCACCAGCAGCTTGTGCCTGTAAAACATCAGTCCTTTAGTTGGTTCTCCAGTCTACAGTGATGGGTGCACTGCCATGTCTAGAACGCAAGGAATCCAAGTGGCAAAGGTGGCAACCTGGAAGGTACAGCTTCAGCCTGTGCTCTGATTCCGGTGGGTTTCTTTAGAGAATGAACCCTCACTATGGTCAGTCTACATGATTAACCCAGCTGGTTTTATCAGCTTTGTCTCCTTGCTTCATGGTTCCAAAAATGGAAATCTTTAACCTGCCAGACTGTACTTTTCCAAATAGCAGACCAAACAGGTAGGTTACTGTCCGAGTTAGTAAAAGTAGTATTGGCCAGTGCTTTGAGAACAGCTTTGGCCAGTGCTTTGAGAACAGCTTTGATTTCTGTGGTGAAAACACATGCAAATTTCCATTCCGCACATCTGGTGTGGACGCTACCATAGCAGCCCTCAGAAGCATCGCTGGTTTCAATTTAGCAAACATCAGTGAGCCAGGTTCTGGCACAGAAGAGAGCCTCTATGAATTGGGAGCTTCATGAGCCAGTGGCTTTGCTTTGGGCTGTGGAGTAGAGGATAAATTTTACCAAAGGGACAACTGCCATCCCTCCTCCCTGGTTGGGCCCTTCATAGAACCAGAGTTCACCCATCCCAAAAGCAAAGTATCTGTCATGAGGCCTTGACTGATACAAGTTGGGACACTTTATCGAGTGGCTATTTTTGTTTGTTTTGTTTTTCTGAGACAGGGTTTCTCTGTGTAGCACTGGCTGTCCTGGACTTGTAGACCAGGCTGGCCTCAAACTCAGAGAGATCTGCCTGCCTCTATTTCCCAAGCGCTGGGATTAAAGGTGTGCACCACCACTACCTGGCAAGTGTTTTGTTTTAAATAATTTTTTATGTGTGTGCATATGCCATGGCACACACGTGGAGATCAGAGGACTACACAGTTGGTTCTCTCCTTCTACCCTGTAGATAGGTCGCAGGGATCAAATTTAGACATGAGTCCGGGCAACAGGCACCTTTGCTCATTGAGGCATATCACTAACTTCACCCTTGGTGTTCAATTTTAATGAGAACCTAGAAGCAATCTTAAGAGTTGTCTCCAAAGAGTTGTGTCAGCTGAGTGTGGTGGTACATGCCTCTTATCCCAGTACTCTGAGGCAAAGTACAGATGAGCAGGAGTTCAAGGCCAGCTTCTTCTTCTACATAGCAAGTTCAAAGCCAGTCTGAGCTACATGAAATCCTGTTTCAAAAGACAAAGAAAAAAAAAAAAAAGAGAGAGATGTACTCCTTATTCCCATCAGAGGGGCAGCAAATCCCAACACCACCACAGAACTACCACACCATGGAAGCGACTTCTCTTTAACCAATGCTACAACCAGCAAAGGGCCAACCAAAGACTTAGCTTATAGCAACCATCAGGGCTGTGGGGTCTCAGAGATGCAAGAACCTGTCTATACAAAGCAATTCCCACCTGCCATGATCCCTCTGAGATTTATGAGCACATGTGACACATTAATGTAAAACATAATACCATTCATACATCCACAAGGCCAATACACTGAACCTGCTCAAAGCCCAACCCACAGGATTGGCCTGATACTTTCTCCTTCCTGGAAGAGGGAGGGACATTTCAGCTGGATCAACTTCTCACACATTTGCTTAGAAATGTAGGTGTTGACTAGAACACATACAATTTGCACATAATAGTTATTTCTTTATTCTCCCAACCAGAACTTATTGTTATGTGCAAGGAACTATTTTATGTACTAAGATATAGTCTATAGCACCGTGTACTAAAATATAGCTTGTGCTCTACAGTCATTCTAGTTGGAATATCAGATAAGAAGTGAAAGGAAGATTCACCAAGTGAAAATGTTGTGGAGGCAAGGGAGGCAGATAAGAAAAGGAAATAAAGCCTGGCCATGCAGCCTAGATTTACCTGGAACTGACTGTTTAGCACAGGCTAGCCTCAAACTCATACCCTCTGGGTGTAACATCCTAAGTGTTGGCAGCAAGTGGCAAGCACTGCATCCAAATTTGCTAATTCATGTAGAGTGATCAGGGAGTTTCAGAGAACTGAAGGATCTCAGAATTAAGTAGAAAAACCCGGGGAAATTTGAGTCTAGACCTGGGGAAGACATTGGGGGGAGGAGCAGCCTGCCCACTGTGTGACAGGGCAGCAAGGTCTGTATGGCTAAAGTGGAACTCGGGAGACTGGGACAGGGTGCAAAAACCATGGGGAGGGGGTAAGGTGTTCCGTGCCTTCCTATGATTCTGAATAGATTTTGGCTTAATAAAAGCTTGCTGATCCCAAGTGTCTGTTACTGGAACCTATCTATCTAGTACCCAATAAAGTCTTTACTTTCATTCTAACTTAATAGCAACAGGGGGGACAGGGACTGAAGAGATTAAGAGCACCTACTCTTGCAGTAGACATGGATTTGGTTCCCAGCTCCCATGTAGTGGCTTGCAACCATTCATAACTCAAGTTCTAGGCAATCTGATGCCCCTTCTGACCTCTGCAGACACCAGGCATGCACTAAGTATATACACACACACGCAAGTCACTCAAAACACATTTTTAGAAAGGAAAAGCAGACTAGGGAGCTTGTTCAGTGGGTAAAGGTACTTGCTGATGAGTTCCATACCTGAGACCCACATTAAAAGAAGCTACAGAAACAAGAGATACTGTATCAACAGGGTAGAAAGTTGAGAGCTGACTCCTAAAAGTTGTCTTCTGACCTCCACGTGTACGTACTCACAACTGATGCAAATTCTTTTAATTAAAAAAAAAAAAAAGCAACACTATAAAAAAAGATACGGCAATACCACTATAGTGATTAACATTTTTCTTTCAAAAAATTAAGTAAATTAAGGAGGACAAGTGATTTTTTTTCTCTCTGCAAGGTTACTTGTAGAGTTGAAGACAATCCCAAGCCTGACTGAAGCCTACACAGTTGCTTATACAAAGAAATGAACAAGTCTTTAGTTCTGTTTCTAACAGAATATATATACACACAGATGCAGGTAGTAATACATTTGCATTCATTTGCATCCTTGTACAAACTGCCTCACCCCCACCCCCACCCCCCGTTATTTGCACATGTAGCTGGTAGAAATGGATGCTTCACTTCAAAGCTCAGCTAAGAAAGCAGACTTGCCTCTCTTTCCCAGCCTTGAACCGATAAGCTCGAACTTGGGCATCTGGAACCTAGAGACAGATGGTGAGAACTGACAGTCAAAAGCTTCACTATTAAGGCATTTTAAACTGTGAAGATGGTAATACACCATCTTCTAGGAAGACTCAAAGAATGCAAAGGTTTCCGTCCACAGTTGGTGCATGCCTATAATTAAAGCACTCAGGAGGCCAAGGCAGGGTTCAAAGTTGGAGGTCAGACTGAGCTATACACTTTAAAACACACACACACACACACAGAGAGAGAGAGAGAGAGAGAAATATGGACTGCAAAGTACCAAACATCTAAAGACACAGGCTATTGGGTTACTGTAAAAAAAAAAAAAACTGTAAAAAGCAGTATTCCACAGACACCCAAGGGCAGCACATCAGCTATTTAAAAGCACAAAGGGCTGTCACATCGAGCTAATCAAAGCTGCCTTAGACCAGACAGGATTTCCTGGCATTCAATCCCAAGGAACCCCTTCCTCTCCTGTTCTCGACCATGTTAGACTAATACCACTCCCCAACAGGACGAGTATGAGCTTTTGGTTCCTGAAGGACAATGTAGCCACTAATGACTCAATCTCTTCACAGAAGCTGGTTGGGCAGCCCGAGAGGCTCTGTAGAAAAGCCCCAGCTGTGCTCAATAAACCACAGACTAGAGAAGAAGGGAGAGGGAGACTACAAGAAGCAGTACCTGAAGAGTCTAGGGCCACCTGGCAGTCCTCACTGAGTCTGGTGTTTATCACTGCAGATGCTATTACATGCTAAGGTGTCAGCAGAGAGCTGTCTTTGCTCCAAATTGAAAATGCCTCAGCTCTGCTAACAAGGAAGGAAGAGTAGATGTTCTCCCAGGCAACATACACTGAGCTTTGATCCCAGTGAAGGAAGCAAGGTGACGGTCATAAGCACAGCACTGGAAACCAGGCATGCCACGCTGGGCAAGCACACCTGGTGATGCTAGGAGGCAGAAGGAAACTTCTCAATCACCAAGCTTCTAAAGTAGGAGGTCACCTTTCAAGTGTCAACCCGAATCTCACCACGGCTGTTTTGTTATTTTAGGCACTATTGGATGAAGTGTACTACGAATTCTGGCCATGTTTCTCTTGAGAAATACCTTTATGGAAGTTAAGTCTACTGGCCACTCACTGCAGAAAAGGGTGCAAAGAGTAAGCCTCAGCCTACCACACTAAAGGCCTCTAACTTCTTCCAGCAGAAACTCTAACAGGAAGCAGGTGGCCAAGACAGTAAGGGAGAAAAGGTATGGAAGAGCCGACATCGACATTCATTACATTGGCCCAGGGTGGAAATGGGATGCAGAGCAGGAATGAAGAAAAGCTGGGGTTTATGGCTCAGTGGTAGGGCACTTGCCTAGGATGCTCCAGGTCCCAGGCTCAGCACCAAAGAAGACTAAATTAGAATTTAGAAAGCAATGAAGTTAGCTGGACGCCATGGCGCACACCTGTAATCCCAGCACTCAGGGAGGCAGAGGCAGGCGTGTATCTGTAAGTTTGAGACCAGCCTGGTCTACAAAGTGAGTCCAGGACAGCCAGGGCTACAGAGAAACCCTGTCTTAAACAACAAACAAACAAAAGCAATGAAGTCACAAAAGTAGGGATGTGAGCAGAACTAGTTACTTCTTCAGAGAATGTTAATATGTTAGGAAATAAACTTAAACAAAGGAAAGAGAAACTAACATTTATTGAGTGCCTATGGGGATAGATAGATAGATAGATAGATAGATAGATAGATAGATATAATCTATACAATGTATGGCTGGTCTTATGCAAGGAGTTCTCATCTACAATATTCCATTTGATCCTCACACCGACCCTGTGAGGTAGGTATTATCCTCATGTTTGTCAAATGAGGAATACAAGGCTCAGAAAGGTTAGGTAGTTTGAGGACACAGAACTAGAAACCAGTGAGCTGGGACTGAATTTCAAGTCTCAAACTTCACCCCTGTTCTTTCCTACCCACCTGAACTCCTCCCCTTTTCATCCCTGTAACCCACAGCTCCCAAAAAGAAGCCTGACCCATCCTACCTTGGGAGGATGCAGTCAGTTATGAGGATTAAGACATAAATAAAAAATAAATAGCAGGGTCAAGTTCCCAGCACTGAGGCTGTGCCTTTCATACTCATGCTGTGGGAAGGCCATTGCGCCATTCTCAGCTGCCAGGGTAAGGGATGCAGTACTGGCCCTAGTCAGGGGAAACTGGGACGACAGCTGCCAAAGACTGCAATGGGTGGGCTGAACAGGCCCCTTCTGGGCTGCATGTGTTTGAGAACAAATCGGTCTGGAGCAGGCAGCAGTCGTGGGCAGTCACCATCCTCCTCCATCTGTTCGTTTCACCGGTGTTTGTGGTCCAAGAGGGATTCAAAATCGGGAGAACACACAAGTTTGTGCTTCACGTGTCCCAGGACTGTCATTTCCCCCGTCCTGCTGTCTCCAAGGCCCACAGACACCAATTCCTGCCGTTGAACAGAAACATCAGTGAGGACCACATACCCACAGCCAGCCCTCAATCCAGTGACCCAGGAGTTCCCCTCACTGCCTCAGCCAAGGCTGCTTGACACTCCCCTCCCTGGCCCACAGGGGTCGCACCTGCAGGAAAGAGCAGGTTGTTCCCATGGTCACGTCCAGAGTCACCTTGCCCAGGAGGAGTTGTACCTTCCCTGACTTGCGGATGAGCAGCTTGCCCACTTGACCCTCTGTCAGGTCAGCCAAGGTACAAGCGTTCTCTGCCAATCTGGCTTCCTGTGGAGAGAAGCAGCAGAAGACACTAGGCAACAGCTTTGGAGAATGAATCCCATTCTGTTCCCAGAGAGCAATGCAGCAGCAGAAAAGTCTCTGCAACAAGGGCTGTGTTCTGGGGGTACCAGCCTGGAATTTCCCCAGAACCCACTGTTGAGCATACCCGGTCTTTTTCTTGCTTTATCACCACCATCTGTCCATCCTCGCCCTGCACCTCTGTCTTGATAGGCTTGATGTCCTGAGTGGGTGGCTGCCCAGGAAGGGTATCAGGCAGCTGAAGGAACAACAGCTCCTCATCCTTGGTGAGGCTCAGTTCTCTGAGCAACTCTGCAACAGACACGTCCTTCGGGAGACAAGGGGTCTTCCTGGCTGCTCTTGGAGGGGCCTTCACCTTGGCCTCCTCTTCCTCATCCCGTGGCTCCTCTTTAACTGCCAAAAGTGAGATGAAGGAAAAGACATCAAGTAGCCGCCCACGAAGCCAGCTCACTGTTCCCAACCCTTCACATCCATGTGTCCCACTGTTGCTCAGCCAGAAGACTGGAGATGCCAGTTACACGGAGGAGCAAGAAAGAAATTCAATACATGTGTGACCTCTCTAAAATGGGACAGCTGGGGCGAGGTGTACTGCTATTCACTGGCATGTGAACTCTGAGCAGAGAACTACGCCTCTGTTCTGTGCCTGTACTTTTGAGTGAAAATGAAAAGGAGGCGCAGGTGAGCAGCAGTCTTGGAGGTCATGTGGGGGCTTCTTGGGAGAGCTAGGGGATGGAAGTTAGCTGACACAGGATACCTTTTACAGCAGGCATGTCCACTTCCATGTCTTCTTCCTTGGGGCCAGCTGAAAAAGGCTTAACCTCTGGCTCTTCACTCTCCTCCTTAAAAAGCCAACCTGAGTGAGCCAGTGGCAACTGCACAGGCATGTTCCGTGTGTCATTCTTTAGCCCCGGGTCATCGATGAACTGCCAAAGAGTTAGGATCACACAGAATGTCAGCATATGTGCCTAGGTCACAGTCCGTTTCAGTGCTTTCTTTGCTATGGGTGTGTACTTGTGTTACTAGGGACTAAATCTAGGCATCTCACATGGAGGCAAGGACTCTTGTAACTGAGCTGGCTGCCCAGGCCCACCTTACTGTTTCTGTAACCAAAAGCTCCAGGAAATCAGTGAACCCCGCATCTCAACTTAGCTCTCTAAAAGCCCTCTTTAACAGCCAGGCTCCTGGTACCTACATCATCCTTCTCCAGCATGCGCAGGATCTGCTTGGTTTCTTCATCAGTTTCTCTCTTCTCTTTTTTGATGTTGATGATATGAGAAGGTCCCATGTCTGACATACCCACTGTCTTATCCCAGTTCCCTGCAGGAAATCACCCTGTTCACTAGAGATAAATAAGGAAGACGGCAAGGGCAAGGACAAGGAAAAACAAACTAGGAATGGAGAAGTCCATTGCTCTGCCTTCTCAGGCAGTCTGAACTGCAACCCAGAACTGATCCCTTCCTGGTACCTTTTTTTTTCATCATTTCTGCAGGACCCTGCTCAAAGATAGAATGAGACTGGATCACTTCTGGGCGGCCACGTCCCCGTCCATGACCCTCACGTTGGCGGTCTCTATCCCGTTCGCGCTTTTCCTTCTTCATAGTTACTTCTTCCTTCGGCCTGGGAGTGAGAACTGATAAAAGGGTCTGTCTCCAAAAACAAACCCTCCTCGCTCACTCCCTTTCATCCAACTGAGCAGAGTTTGTGAGCCAGTAAGTACAGCAGGAGAATCAGAACCCAATCCTTTGCTACAGCCCTTATATCTTTAATAAAGCAGGACCTTTCATTTTGCTTTAATTTTTTTTACTGCCTGAAAGCAGAAAGAAAGGAATGCAGAGGAACTTAAGAGGAAGGGAAATATGAAGAGTTTAGCCCATCTCAGCATTAGAAGGTAGCTAAAACTGTGAGAGATGGAACCTACTGAATGGTTGTCCAGACCCTGAAGGAAAACAGAAACTAAGCCCTTTCTTCTCCTCCATTTCTTTCTTCCCTCAGGCACTCTCTGCCATGTGTTCACTGCTACACCACAGACCCAAAATCGAAAGAACCACATGATCATGGACTAAAATCTCCAAAATTCTGATGGCCAAAATAAAATTTCTCTATTTTCTTTTAAAGATATATTTATTTACTTTACACATATAAGAGCTCTATCTGCATGTACACCTGCATGCCAGAAGAGGGCATCAGATCCCAGTATAGATGGTTGGAAGCCACCATGTGGTTGCTGGGAATCAAACTCAGGACCTCCAGAAGGGCAGACAATGCTCTTAACATCTGAGCCATCTCTCTAGCCCAAAATCTCCCTCTCTATAAGTTGACTATCTCAGCTTTTATTACAGTAAAAAAGAAAACGGCCTCTAATACAAAGTGCCTTGCAGCCAGACATGGCGATGTGCACCTCAATTCCAGCACTTAGGAGGCAGCTCTGAGAGGCAAGCAGATCTCTGTGAATTCTAGGCCAGCCATTTACAGTTAGTTCCAGGATATGCTGCGCCATAAAGAGAGGCACTGTCTGAAAGCAAATATGCCTCTAGATAACCTGGGATGAAGGCTGAGAACCATTAGTGTATAAGCAAACGGTGTAAATTAAAATTTTGAGCCACACACCTAATTACATCCCCAGATTCCGAGCAATACAGGGTAAATATTCATTAATCCTAGCTACTTACTCTTCTTTGATCTTCCGACCGATGATATTTGGGGTGAAGGTTTTCTGCAAAGTAAAATACAATCTTACATTTTCAAAGTGCTCAACAGACCAGTCAGTTTCACTAGAGAAACAATTCTGGGAAGGCTTAGAAAGATAGGTCTGCCAGCACTCACAAATGGATGACACAGGTAGCCTATCACTAGACGTACCCAAGGCAAAGATAAGCAGCTACACCCTTCGTGTCATTCTGCTCTTTCCTTTCAGAGATACTCATTATATCGACACTACTTCCAGAGAGAGGAGTTAAGGTCATGTCTAAGATTCATGTCTAAGTTAGTTGTTAGTAGTTTCAGTACTGACATCCAGAGTTCTGAACACTCAAAACTGCAAGTAAAGCTTATGGCTGCCTGACTTTCAAGGGACTTTTTTTTTAAGGGTGTCCAAAACACAATAAGCACATTTGAACATCTTGAATTAACTAGGTTCTCCGCCTTTTAATTTTAAATGCCTGTGAAACCACGTCAGTATCTTGTACCAGCACCTAGGCTTGAAGGTCTTCCCAGAGGCTGACATCCCATCAGGGGCACAAAAGCTCACAAGAACATCACGAGTTGCTTTCCCACGGCCTGGGACTCAAAAGGTATTTCGGTTTCCGTACAAACGCGCTCGCTGGTACCTTCTTGACTCCGCCAAGGGTGAGGTCCCGGGAGCGAATTGAGGGAAGGCGGCCTGGTGTCAGCGGAGGTGCTGGCCGCCGGCCGATCAGCCCGCGGCCCCCAGAGAGAAGGGGTCGCGGCCCTCCGGAGTTGCTGGGCTCGCCCGCGGCGTTTCCTTCCGACATGGTTCCTGAAGGAAAAGTGGGCAACCAAGTGACTCCACGGACTGGACGCGCAAACGCCGGGCGGAACCCCACCCACGTGGCCTCCCGCCCCTGACAGTGCGTCGCTCTCTCTGCGCCTCAGCCCCTCCCCGTCCCACGTGGCGAGGCTTCGCGGAGCGCCCCACCTCTAGCTTTGGACTCGCCACATGCCCTCTCCCCGGGGCTGCATGACGCACCTGCGCTGAGGCTCCACGCCGAGGGTCACGACCTCACCTCCGACGCGACCAGCCCCCAGCCCCCAGTGTCCCTGCCAGGCGGAAGTCTGCGTGGCAGAGGCCGGGCGCTGCCATCTTGCCCTGGGGCGGAAGTGACGTCAAAGGGGCGGGACCTGACCATAGTATTTATCCGACGGCGCCTCGCTGCCCTCCGCCTTCTCTTCCCGGTTCTTCCCGGAGTCGGGAAAAGCTGGGTTGAGAGGGCGAAAAAAGGATAAGGGGGAGGAATGTCAACTACGGGGAGGTGTGACTCCTTGGGGGTGTGTCCCGGCTCCTGGCAGGGAGTGGAGGTGCAGTCCTCGGGGTGGGGGTCTCCAAGGTCGCCTACCTGCCGGGTGTGGAGTCCCCGCTGCGGAGCCTCCTCTGGGAGCAGTGGGGTCGCTGCTCCGGATGGGGCTCCGGACACTGGGAGCTACCGAGGCTGCCTGCAGCTTCTCTGTGTTGACCTTGGAGTGGTCACTGCACCTCTGGGCCTTGCCCTTTGCACTCAAGCTTCTTCCCTTGCTGTTCCTGGAATCCTGGGATGTCACTCTTAACGCATCTGGGACCGGGCAGCCAGTAGCTCTCCTCACCCTCCTGAACTAATGACTGCTGGAACCGAAATTCCAGCTCTTCAAGTGGAAGGGTTTTTCTGTTTTTTTGTTTTGTTTTGTTTTTTGTTAGTTTTTGTTTTGTGTGTGTTTATATGTGTGTGGTGGGGTGGGAGGGGTTTTGAGATAACCCTAGTGTGTAGCTATCTAATCTGAAATTTAAGTAGAGCAGACTGGCTTCGAACTTGCAGCCACCCTGTCTCTCTATCCCTCAAGTGCTGGGATTACAGGTGTGCACCACCAATCCCAGCTGAAAAAAATTTTATGGTATCAGATGGTGTAATTCAATCTGGAAAAAAAGGGGGGGGGGCCTTTTTTATTATACCCCAACGATGAATAAAAACATGTAGTTTTAGGGAAGGAACCTATTTCTGCTAAAATTCCACAGACTGCTAGTATTAAAATATTTGTTATGTATGCTAATATTGTGCCACAATATTGTATCCTTTATTAGAGTCAAGTGAGGGAGGATATATACGTAATATATAATCTACTTATACTTACATGCAAAATATATGTGTAATTTATTTGTTTCCTTGATTGGGCACTTTGGGTATTTCCTTGTAAAGAACTATAGTGTACATTTAGTACATTCAACCTTTTTTGTTTGTTTTCTATTAGATTATATTTCTAGGAAAGAGTTCCAGATGATGTACATTTTGAATGTTTTGATGTCATACATTTGCAGTTATTAAAAAAAGAAGAGGGCTGGAGAGATGGCTCAGAGGTTAAGAGCACTGCTTGCTCTTCCAGATGGGTCCCGAGTTCAATTCCCATTCATAATGAGAACTGGTGCCTTCTTCTGGCTGCAGGTGTACATGCAGACAGAACATTGTACACATAATAAATAAATAAATCTTTAAAAAGAAAGAAGGAAGAGAGAAAGAAAAGAAGGAAGGAAAAGAAAAAGAAGGAAGGAAAGATCGAGAGAAAGAAAAGGGAAGGAAAGAAGGAAGGAAGAAAGAGAAAGAAAAAAAAGGAAGAAAAGAAAGAAAGAAAAAAGTAAGGAAAGAAAGAAAGAAAGTGGTATGGAAAGCCAGGCATGTTGGTGCATGCCTACAAACCCAGCACTTGGTAAGCAAAAGCAGGCAGGTAGGACGTTTACACCAGCTAGGACTACAAAGAGAGAGAATGGTGACTACAACAGTGACTCAGCAGAGAGAGCCTAAATTCTGTTACTGTGTTCTCCCCAATAGTAAGAGCTAGCACTTACATCAATATTGACATTTTTGCAGTCATGGTACAAGACACTTTGAACACTACAGGAGTCCCTGTCGCTGCCCTTTTACATACAGCTCTTCTCACTGCTGAGCCTTCTCCTCCCCCACTCCTCCCACCACTCATCTGTTCTCCATTTCTGTAATTTTGCTATTTCAAAAGTATTCTGGAAATGGAATCATACAGTATGTGACCTGCTTTTTTGTGGCTATTTTTTTTTTACCCCCCATAATTCTGTGGCTATTATCCAAGTGGTATTATCATCAGTTTGTTCCTTTTTCTGCTGAATATCTGTGGTTTATTTAGCCATCCTTTGAAAGACACCTGGGTTATTCAGTTTGTGGCTATTATGAATAAAGTAGCTGTGAACAAATGTGCAGCTTTTTGTGTAAATATAAAATTCCTTTTTTCTGGGGTGAGTGCACCTGTTGATTTGTATGATTGTATGATTAATCTTGGGGGTTGGGGAAAACCAACAAACTTGCCTCCACAGTGGCTAGACTATTTTTCAATGAGAGTATTTTGTGGTTCATCATTGATGCTACTAGTGAAAACACTAGAGGACTGGAGGTATTCCCCTTCCCCATCCTTCAGTGATTAAGAGCACTTCCTGCTCTTGTTCCCAGCTCCCACCTAGTGGCTCACAGCAGTTTCATAGGATCTGGTGCCCTCTATTGGCCTCTGAGGGCACCAGGCAAGCTCACAGTGCACATGCATACATGCAGGCAAAAGACTTATAGACATAGAATAAGAACAAATAAATCCTTTCTTAAAAAGTACTGTGCTAGCCAGCTGGTGGTGGTGGCGCACGCCTTTAGTCCCAGTCCTGGGGAGGCAGAGGTAGGTGGGTCTACAGAGCATGTTCCAAGATAGCCCAGGTTACACAAAGAAACCCTGTCTTCAAAAACCAAAACAAAACAAATAATACTGGGCTAAGATGCATCACGAAGGAAATGTAAGATCTGAAGCAGGGGAGGGCCTTATGGAACCCCTCTCCTCTCTGAGAACCTTTCAGACAGTTAAAAGTTGATGGGAGGGATCTGGGTGGAGTGGTGGCCCACGCCTTTAATCCAGAGGCAAAGCCAATCAGATCTTTATGAGATCAAGGCCAGCCTAGTCTATACAGAGAGGTCCAGGACAGCCAAGACTGCACAGAAAAACCCTGTCTCGGAAAAACTAAAAGTTGACACAAGGGAAGGAGACACATGTTTCTTCAGTGGTGTAGCCATTGGTAGGATGCTCATGCATGTTCCTTTAAATAGCCCTAATGAAGCTCATTACATCACAAACACAAATACAGAAAAGCAGGACAGCTAGCTAGAAAGAGGATTAGTGGGACAGTGTCTTCGCTGGTTTTTTGTCAACTTGACTGAAGCTAGAGTCATTGGAGAAAATGCCTCTGTAACTCCAGCTGTAGGCAAGCCTGTGGGAATTTCCTTAATTAGTGATTGATGGGGGCAAGGTGGGCAGCCTATTGTGGATGGTGTCATCCCTAGGCTGGTGGTCCTGGGTTCAATAAGAGAGCAGGATGAGCAAGTCATAGGAGCAAGCCAGGAAGCAGCACCCCTTCATGGCTTCTGCATCACCTCCTCTAGGTTCCTACCCTGCTTGAGTCCCTGTCCTGATTTCCTTTGATGGTGAGCTGTGATGTCAAAGCATAAGCTAAATAAACCCTTTCCTCCCCGAGTTTCTTTTGTCATGGTGTTTCATCACAGCAATAGTAACCTTAGCTAAGAAAGACAGGGAGTGGGACAGGTGAGGATAGGGGATATGAATATGATCAAGGTGTATGATCAAGTGTATGATCAGCAAGAGGCTTTTATTTTGATATACGAGTACTCGGGGCGAAAGTCACTCGAAAGGACTTTGTGCGCCCCCTAGATGGGAAGCTGGGGTTTTTATAGGGTTTTAGAGCAGAAGCACTGGTATAGAAGCGAGAAGCATGGTTACAGGGGGCTGATTGGTACGTTTACATGAGACCACGGTTTGTGTCAAAGTTTGGCAGGGACACCAAGATTGACCACCCCTTAATGTGGCCACCTGTTATTTTGTTTTTTTTCTATCTCAGCTAGAACAACCTCTGACAGATATCCCATGAGGGTAGTCACAACAAGTTGTTTTTAACTCAACAGGGGCAGCCTGACCACAGATATCCCAAGTGGGTGACACAGCTAAGATTTCTCAGTAATTTTTCAGTTTCTCATCTGGCCTTTAGAGTTTTACAAAACAGTGGTGTCTCACAAAATGGCGTTAGCTATGTTTAACTTAGGGTGAGACAGGGGTCTTTTATTGCAATGTTTGTGGGATTTCCAGAGAGAAGACTTAAATCAGATATTTAACACATGATTCATTTAGTTTATGTAGGGTCTTCTGTTTCCAGGCTGATCACTACTAACTCATTAAGTACCCATTTACCACCTTGAACTTCTGATCCTGCTGACTCCACCTCCTGAATGCTGGGATTATGGGTGTGTGCCTTAGTTATTTTTCTACTGCTATAATGAAACACCAAGATCAAAAGCAAGTTGGAAAGGAAATGGTTTATTTGCCTTACATACCCTAAATCATAGTCAATTGAGGGAAGCCGAAGGAACTCAAACAGGGCAGGATCCTGTAGGCAGGAGCTGATGCAGAAGCCATGGAGAGATGAAGCTTATAGGCTTCTTCCTCAAGGCATGCTCAACCTGCTTTCTTACAGAACCCAGGCTCACCAGCCCAGGGGTATCCCTGTTCACAATGGGCTGGGCCCTCCCCATCAATCACTAATTAAGATAATACCCTATAGGCTTGCCTGCCTACCAACTGATCTTACGGAGGCTTTTTTTTTTTTTTTTTTTTTCTTTAATTTAGGTTCTGGCCTCAGAAGACTTTACCTTGTTTCAAATGAACATAAAACTAGCCAGGACAGCCACCATGCCTAGTTTATGGAAATGGGACCCAGGACGTTGTGTGTATACTAGGCAAGTACTCTTACCAACTGAACAACAACCCCAGCCATATTTTTGACATTTTCAATATTACTTCCTAACAGTGATTATTATACTCTATCTAGGGGCATTCTCCAGTCTTCCTTTAATTAAGCTAATAGACTCTGAACACTTTGTTCCTATACCTCTCTCTATTTTCTCCCAAAGATCGAGGGCCTAGACTCTTTCATCTAGCCTCAACAGAATCTTGTAAATTCTTTTTAGTTGAGTCCTACCTAATGGATATGATCCTAGGAGACCTGATTTTGTTATTAATAACCTCTTGTTGCATGTATGAATG